ATATCGCCTTTTCTCGAGCATCCCCCAAGAGTTTCTCTTAATAATTTTTAATAATGTGCATTAGTGTGTTAATTTGTTGTAATTGATGAACCAATATTGATGCATTATTAATAACAAAACTCCATAGTTTACATTAGGTTTCACTCTTTTGATCTGTGCAATTCTATAGGTTTTGATAAATACATAATGCATATATCTACCACTATAGTGTCATATAGAATAGTTTCACTATCTTGAAAAATCACATGCTTCACCTATTCACTCATCCTCTCCTTATTCTCCTTGCCATCACTGATTTATTTTCTTCTCTCTGAAGGCACCCAAGTTTGCATCAAATTTTAATTTGGATTTAAAGTGGATCCAGCATATTGGAAGTGCTGGATTTAAGATAGCTATTATTAATAGTAACATTAGAAATAGCATTCTAAGAGTACAGTTTCAGGACAGATATAAAAAATGTGAGATGTTCCCTGCATAACAACTGGGTAGCAATAGTGATAACTCAATCAAATATAAAATGACAGCCTCTGCTTTCTCCTACCTTAGAACATTTATTAAAATGCAGAAAATCCTTACACATAACATTGCAGGGAGGTGATTATTATTATTTACTATCATCATATAATTAGACATAATTTCAACAACTGCTCAAACAGACTACATGACAAAATATTCCTTAGGAAAACACAAATTAATGACAAGAGAATCCAATTTGGTAGTGAGATTTGTAAAGTCCAGTGGACACTTTCCTTTTAGGGTCAGGCCAGACAGGAACATCAGGATCATGGAAGATCATCTGGGCCTTTTTAAGAATATGGAATCATGGCAGAGAGTGTTCCCTGGCTAGTGTCTAGCAAAGTGGCTCTGTCCATTGGTGAAGGTGCTTAATAATATAGCTGGACTGCTAAACTTTTGAGTGTCCTTTGGCTCCAACAGATCTTTCTTTTATTTCTTCATTCATTCAATAGTCATTGTGTAGCTGCCATGTGCTATGGGCACTGGCCCAGGTAAGCCATTATTTTATTTTTTTTACAGTAGAAAAGAAAAGTTTTATTAGAAGGTAAAGTATACTTCCAGATGTGGAAGCAGGCCTGAGCAAGAGAAGCGTGGCTCAAAAGGCCAAACCATTAATTTTTTAATGCCTTTTTGGTTCTGCCTTTTCCAGAATATCATACAGTTTGAATTATGTGGTATATTGCCTTTTTGGAATGGCTTCTTTCACTTAACAATATGTATTTAAGATTCCTTCATATCTTTAATGGCTTGATAGCTCATAAAATATTCCATTGTAGGGATGTACCACAGTTTGTTTATACATTACCTTATTGAAGGATTGCTTCCAGTTTGGGGCAATTATGAATGGACAGAAGTTTTCAATTTGTTTGAATAAATATTTAGAAGCACAATTGCTCAGTAGTATGATAAGAATATGTTTAGCATTTTAAGAAATTTTGAAGCTATCTTCCAAAACGGCTATACCACTTTTCATTATCATCAGCAACAAATGAGAATTCCTGTGATACATGTTCTCGCCAGCTTTGTATTGTTAGATTTTTGGATTTCAGTCATTCTAATAGGTGTGTAGTGTTATCTCGTTGTTTTAATGTGCAATTCCCTAACGACATATAATGTGGAACATTTTTTTATGTGCGTATTTGTCATTTGTATGTTTTCTTTGGTGAAGTGCCTGTTCAGGTCTTTTAATTGGGTAGTTCATTTTCTTACTGATGAGTTTTAAGAGTTCTTTGTATATTTTGGATAACACTCCTTTATCAGATGTGTTTTATAAATATTTTCTCCCGGTCTGTGGCTTTCTATTCAATCTCTTAACAGTGCCTTTGCAGAATAAAAGTTTTTAGTTTTAATAAAATCCCATTAATCAATTTTATTTTTATGGATCATGCTTTTGGTGTTATATCTAAAAGTCATCACCAACCTACAGATCTCCTAGATTTCTCCAATGTTATCTCCTAGAAATTTATAGTTCTGCATTTTATATCTAACTTTGTGATCCACTGAGTTAATTTTTGTGAAGGGTATAAGGTCAGTATCTAGATTCATGTCTGTGCATGTGGATGTCAGTTGTTCAGTACCATCTGTCTCTTCGATACCTCATTTCAATATTTTCTAGTAACCTATCTTCTACAGTTATTTAATTCTCTCTTCGACTGGATCCATTCTGCTACTAAATTCTAACCTTAAGTTTTTAATTTTGGTTTGGGGTGTCAAGGTGAGAACTTCTATTGGATTTTTTCCAAATTTGTTTTGTCACTTTTAAAGACTTCTAGACCCCTCCAACAATCTTATATTTTATTTCTTTGAATATAATAAGCATAGATAGATATTTTTAAGTTCATGCTTAAGTTTGAACATCGAAGCATCTGTAAGTTTATTTCTACTTTTTATTATTTCTGCTAGTTCTTGTTCCCATTGCCTTGTCTTGTTATGTACCTCTTTATCTTTGATTATGTGCTAGACATTGTATTTTCAAACTATTTGTGCAATCACTAGAGACAATATTACATTTACTTCTGCCAGGTGCCTACGGGGATCTGCATTCTAGTATTAATTTGATCCAATTTTAGTTTGAGATTGTCTAGATCACACAAAGATTTTGCAACCACACAGCAATCCATGTGAGGACTGGTTTACTTCTGTTTTTATACACCACCCAAGGCTGGGTCTCAATCCACTTTGGTATAAAGAGTTTTACCAAGGACATCTCCTCTGGCAGACCCTGAACTTCAACATTTTTGTCCCCTTCGGTTCTTTAGGTCCTGCAAGGATGTGAGAAACACTGCTCTAACTTTTAGCTTCTTTTAACTAAAAGGCATGCACCCAAATACCAGTTTAACCTCTCTAAATTTCTGCCTTCTCTTGGATCTTGGTCTGGTAAATTCCTCACTAATTTGGTACTTCTCCAATGCCTTTAAGCATAGGTTTTGAATATACTGTCCAGCCGTCCTCAGTAATGCAGAAGTCAGAACAGGTCCCTGCATCCCATGAATCCAAAAATATTTTGCCTTTGTAGCCTTTAACACAATTGATTTTATATTATATTGTACATATGTTCCTTACCCCACCTCCATTAGAATGCTAAGATCAGGTCTGATTCATGTAGCACTTGTCCCCTGCCCAGAATAATTATTTCTTAAATTGTACCAACCAGTCTTTTCTGATGCCTTTGCTAATTATTCATGTCAAAATTTCATTGCTTTAAGTCATTAAAATTTTATTCTTATATAATCATTAAATGCACTTTTCCCTTTCTCATTTGCTTTCAATATTTACAGTTTATACAAGAAAATGTCTTATGTTTTAGTGTTTTTTTAAACAATTTGACTCTATGGTGTTACTTATTTGATTTCAAGATAATCTTCATACTTTCCAGATGTGCCTTATGGCATACGCACATGCACGCTCACACACACACACAAACGTGGTAATTTTATATTCATTTTATTTTGAAAATTTCATGACACTTCTTGGGAATTACCAAGAGGATACGTAGTGAAACCACTAAGCTATATATACTGTACAGAAAATAACTAGAACATTTCTGGATATAAAGCAGTTTGTGGTTTTTTAAATGTGTTTTTGTGCCTCTTTTTCATTTCAGTGCTTTTCCATCACTAAGTAGTCACATATGGAACTGCTTAGGATTTCACTGCCTTTTTCTGTGAGGAAAAAATTAAATATATTAAATATATCAAAAGGTTGACAGTCTGTTCAGAAACTTCTAGGAACCAGCAAGAGAAGGAAGAACTACTTACTCACATCTTTCTGAGCAGCAGAAACACCTTTTTGGTTGCAAATTTTAGGGACTATATCCACATCAGTAGTTGCTCAGAGAGAACCTCATAATTCCCCAGGTTTGGGCAAGATGCCAGTGCTTATACTTCTGTAATGGCATATATTTTTTCTTCCTTAAAATATCTCATACTATTTATCTGATGTGTGCCTTCCCTGCTGGAGTTGTCACTCTTAGTGCCAAGGACAATCCTATGTTGCCTTCAATAAATATAAAGGATTGCACTTAGCATTTTAATGAATTTCCATACTCCAAAAGCTAAGTTAAATGTTTTCTCATAAACCCAGGGATGAGTAAACCTAATCTATTCTGGATTCCTTACCCTCACCCAACATGTCTTAGATTCTGACCACACAATGTTTGTACGTGTACCCTGTCCTGACTGCATCTCAGAAACCAAAGTTAGAACCAGCATGACTGGTCGAATTTCTCCTTCCTTTAAGCACAAAGTGTCCCTTTGATACCTAATAAAATGCCCACTGGTAACAAAATCAGTCTTCACTTATTCAGGAGTTGGACATTCAGATCCCCTGCTTCCCATATTCTTTTTCCCCACCTACTAACGAATTTTTGGGCTTTTCACTAGCAAACATGCCATCAAAGGCTGGCCAGAGCAAGGGGAGTAACTCCAATTAGTGGACTTTGTGATTAGCTAGAAATCTTAGTGGAGCACACAGAGTTGGTAGATGGTTGGAATACTATGTAAAAGTTTGGAGAATTTTTCTGATGATATCAACTATTCTTTGGAGGACAAAGAAAAGATAGTTAGTCCAGTTTATAGTCATAGCTACCACACTATCATTCTATGATATTACCATTTTTGTCCTCCCATTTTCTAGGTGTTGACATCATACAGTCCTAGCTCCTCCACCCACTCAATCTGTTAATAAGGACATGCTATTTCATTTCTTTGAGCCTTTCATAATCAACAAAATAGAAACAGTAACCCAACAGGACCAAAGCATTAATACCAAGAATGAAATTTATAAAGGTGCTTTCTAAATGTAGAGGAGCATTCTAGTTTAATATCATTATCAACATTAATTGTCCACAGGTTAGGTTTTACACTAGAATGCCAATATTTCTTCTCAAGGAGAAAGGTATTCCACATGTGTTACTGTGATGAACAAAATCCTGTATTTTTACACACTTAGCCAGTATACATGCCAAATTTCATATCAGTGCTTACCTTGGGAGGTTTCCTTAATGATGGAAACAAAAAGTTTCAGCAGCAGAAGTAGAGAGGGTTGTCAACACAGCACATCAGAAGGAAACAATGAAAGAGAAAAAACATAAGAGAAATTTAGCATCACAATAACAGTGACCTGAAAGATATTCTACTTCACAAAGATCAGAAGCCAAATTCACTTCACTGCTTGAAGTGATAAACTCTTATATTTACTCAAAAATATAGTATAGGTACAATGAATTTCTTTCCTGGTTTAACAGAATAGACCCAGTCATTCAGAGATATTTTTAATAATTCTAAAAATTTCCAACAAAAGAGCATAGAGATAAAGAATTGCTGTAATCACATTGTGATCAATTACTTTTAAATCAATTTGTATACTTAAATTTTTATTAAATTGTTATTTAAATATGTAGATTCATTATGCAAATAAATATATATTAAATATATATTTCTTTTGATAAATACTATAATTTATATGGAATTTTTACCCATTTAAAAAATCATGGTTCTAGCTGACAATTTTCACATATTTCAACCTTGAATAGAAATTTAAAAGCAAGTTACATCTTTCCCCCATCATCAACCACACATTCACTTTTATATGTTAATATCTCAAAAATGACTAAAATTACACCAGAAGAAAATTCTGAAAAGGAAATCATTTTGAAAGTAATAAATTATCAGGATAATTTGCTTTGTATATGTTTTCCTTTACAAAATTGAGGTGCTAAAATATGATTTTTTATGGTGTGTGATCCTATGACAGCTCTTGGCCTTCCTGATGTGGTTATTCTTAATGAACCTCCAATACCATCAATTCATAAACTATAAAATTATTGTTAAATAGATATGGGGGAGTTTTCCTTGTGGCTTTAATTCTTCTTCAAAAAGAAAAGAATCATGAGATTAAGAAAATGGATTTTCCAGGGCAGAGGGCATGGAAATCAAAAGGTGCAAGAACAAGCAGCATGGTGCTTTTTCTCCATCATTGAGTCCAACAGAGCTCTGAGGGCCCCAAACAAAACCCAGGGCTCAGTGGTAAGGAAAGACTGTCCATGGATTCCATAGTCAAGTAGATAACTCAAAACTTTTAAATCTAGGTAAAGAAAATCATAACATTCCTCTCATGATGAAAATGCAAATTCATATTCTTGAAATTCTATGAATTAGCTGAAAGAAAATGAGGCCTTATGTCATTATCTCAACAGTTGTGCAAAACAAGAATGTGATTTTTTTTGTCTACAGGATTTACAGAGAAACTCTATCTAGAGAAACTGGTATCTCTGGCTGCTTCCAAACAAGTCTCAACATTCTGTGTGTCTACCCTTTAGAACAAGATAAACATTTATAGCTACTATAATAAATAAAAAAAAATGCATGAGTATTTTTAATTCTAAGAAAGCCATAGATCTCTGCTCTGCGCAAAAGCTTGAAGTTTGTGCCAAAATATTTTCCTTAAGGGGAACACTGATCTGGAAGGCATCTGCTCTGAGAAGGTAGAACAATATTTGACTAAGCCTTCTCTTACTTTGCTTCTTTATTTTTAAAAAGCCATTTAAATTTACTGCTTTATTTAAAAAAGGAAAGAAAAATCACTTGGATTTACACTAAGGCAATCATGAAATGGCATAGGCCAAGTTAATACAATATACATTTCATTTTACATTTAGTCTACGATGAACCAAGTAACCTAATGGGGGCGGAACATGCTAAAAGGAATACCAAGGATCTCGTGTGCTTCCTTTATGCCTCAACTGGACAATTATCATCATCAACATCAAAAACAAGTGCTGGTTTGTAGCCAGTAGTACATTTACCTCCTTAGATGTTCAATACTAAAGTTCTTTATTAATATTCCAATAGTTTTCTTTATTGTCTTAGAAAACCTATCCTATTTCAACATTAAATACTTGAAAAGTGTATCCCTTTCACTTAGACAGCACATAATATGAGAATGTCAATATAATTCTGCTACCATCTTTTGTGTTTCTGACTAAAGACTGTTGAGAATAAATGGACATTGAGCAGCAGGGGCAAAAGGGAAGCCACTAACTTTATCTGCTACTAATCAAATTTGCTTATCATTTATTTTAGAACAAGGATCCTTCCTACAGAAAGCAAAGAAGGCCATTTAGGGTATCACAACAGTACTTCATTAATGGCTAAACCTTTCTTGAGGTGTGAATCAGGTAATAAGCAACTAGGTCATCCTAATTTAGGGCCACAGTTTACTGTCCCAGTCCCCAAAAGCTACAGTTCATTGGTAGCTGTGAAGAAAAATTTTTCCAATATGAGTCATACTGATACTCTCCCTTGAAAAAAAACTAATGTGATATTACAATATAAAGATAAAAGTGTTCACAAATATGAAATGGGATGAAAAATAAAAACATCGATCAGAAACATAATCAATATTAAATGTATACTTTTAATTATGGCCTTTTGTCAATTACATCAACAAAGTTTTATCAACGAAGAGTTCTGTCTAACTCTCAGTCAAGTCTAACCAACTGCTGAGATATCTGTAAGGCTCGATTACAGAAAGTAGTACTAACCCTGCCTAAGCAAACATCCAGTGAACTACAAAGAATATCCCTTCACGCAGACCAAACTGACCCACAGATATGGACTTGACTGATGACTCAGAGCATTCCACGGACTCTTGGCTTAAGGCTTGTATACTCCTGACCATTCTCCACCCTCTCATTCATCCTCAAAAATGTCCTGTTTTTAATAACATGAATCTCTGCAGGTTATCAGAGTTGTGTGTGTGTGTGTGTGTGTATTTGTGTGTGCATGTGTGTGTATTGCAAAGAAATAAACTGAACACAATCTGACATTTTAGAAGCCAGCAAAGTAATGTTTCTAGGTCCCAGGATTTGGGGGTAAAAAATAGGAGGTACAGTTCTACACCAATAGTAGCTCTATTTTCCAAAACACCAAAGCTACTTCCCTTTTCTCCAGGACAAGGAAGTCAATGGAACGCTTCAAGTCACCCACACCATGTGTATTCACCACCAATTCATGTAATTGCCATGTTTTTATCCCACTTTTGTCTCCCTGCTCTGCCTGATTAAATTTTTCTATTAAGACCCAGATCAAGGCTCAATTCTCTCAATTCCTCGCAAATTGTTGAGACCACCTTGGTCTTCGGCCCTCTGATTCTACAGTATTTCTATGGTCAACAAAACAGCTTAGCACTTACTGGCACACATAAAGTCTTATGGCCTTCACTAATTCTGTCTGTATAGTATTCGACTCTTAGGTATCCTTAAAATTTAAACCCCTCAAAAACAGATGCCATGTCCCATGCTAATTTCATGATCTCTAGGATCTATGGGATTTCATGACCAATCCCATATACTCATATAGGACTAAAAACACTACAAGAACTGAGAAGTAATGGTTTACATTAGTGAGTTAAACATAATCCAGATGTAAGGATTTACTTCGATCACCACCACAATCCCACGATCTCACAATTTTGGGGCGAAACTGATTGCATTTAATAGCAGTGAAGCCTTCAGAGATTGTAAGAAATTGTAGACTATTTCTGATGTTATTCAAAAGTAATTATTTCTCTAGACCAGCATTACACATAGAGTTCACTGGGATGCTAACAATGGTCAAACCCTCAAAAGCTTCTGAGAGCGATTACGTTCAGAAACGGAAGTTCAGTTTCATGAGATTAGAGAAGATAGATAGATAGATAGATAGATAGATAGATAGATAGATAGATAGACAGACAGACAAACAGACAGATAGATGTATAAAAGCTCTAGGAAATAATACTATAAAGATGAATTGAACCTAGTTTGGGCCAGGTCTTGAAATGAGGAGTCGGATACTTAATTTAGTAGGTAGTATAGACTTGGAAAGTTTAACAAGAGAGTGAAATAAAGCAGAATAAACCACATACTACAACAACCGTAGAGAGCTGGAGTTCTTTCCCCACATCTCACACTGAAAGACTTCTGGAGTCTTTTGTCCATTATTTACAGCCTACTGAGAATCTAGATGGTCAAAAACTGTGATGTGCACAAGCCCTAACACCAGATAATGCTTCAAGCGACATGAATGATCAGTGTCTTCTTCTGAAACACAAATTCCGCTTCCATGTATTAACTATTTTATTGACTGATTATTGGAAATTGCCACAACCTATATCTGAAAGGTATACAGCTAAGTAGCATTTGACTCCCGAAGATTATTCTAAGGACATGATCTTTATGACACCCCTGATGATCACTTCCCCTTAAAGAATTAAACCATGAGTCACCTAAATTGTCCAAGAACTCTGTTAACCAGCAAGTACTTGTTGGGTACTGATTTCCACACTGAACATTACAGGTGCTTTGAGAAATATTTAGAGGAATGAGGCATGATTTCTGACCTCGAGAAGCTTCACACCCTAGAGAGAAACAAGTACATGAATATTAAGTGGATGGTGATAAGTGTCATAGCACAGATAGAAACAAAGTGCTATATTCCATCAACAAATGTTTAACAGCCACTGTGTGCTACTTTGTTGAGTTACAAATATAAATTAGACATGTTGTCTTTCAGACAACAATAAACTGACTTTATACACACATATTACAATACAATGTGATATGGGCAGCTATGGCCCCAAAAGAGGGCAAGATCAGGAAAGAGAGTAAGTCTCTCAGAGGAGAAAACCCCTAAGCAGAATCTAGAAGGCTGAATAGAGTCACCAAGCTGAAAAGGCAAAGAAGTGGCATCCCAGGAGAGGGAATTGTTTGTGCCAGAAGCATCGGTGTAGACAGCCCATTTAAGACCAAAGAGCATTAGGACTGTTCTGTAGCCAAATTCATAGAAACAGACAATGGGACACAGGATTATATAGGTTTGGGGTTTTGTCAGATAGGTGGGTATTAAAGTTCATTTCGCCCAGCACTTATTAACTGTAGTTTGAAGATGAGTTTATATACTTGTTTACCAACAAGTTAACATATCCATATATTTAGAACATATAGCAAGCACTTTTAT